CACACACACACACACACACACACACATACACACATAAATAAAATAAAAAAAAAATAGTGAATTGTTTAAAAAAAATTGGCACACTTGGCATAGGTTCTTTGACTGCCATATTTGCAACATTGTAAAAAAAGTTTTTCCTGTTATTTGCCTTGTAATTTTATTAATTTTTTATTTTTTATTTTTTATTTTTTTGCAGAACCAGGGATTGAACTCAGGCCCTTGCGCTTGCCAGGGAAGCTCTTATTCCACTGAGCCATCTCCCTGGCCCTTTTTTTTTCCTTTTTCTTTTTTTTAAAAATTTTTTTAAATAGTGCTTTAGTTATAAAATTTAAGTCTCAGGTTGGGTGTGATGGCACATGTCTGTAATTGCAGCACTGAGGAGGCTGAGGCAGGAGAATTATTGTGAGTTCAAGACCAGCCTGGGTTACATGGTGAGCTCAAGGCCAGCCTGAATTGCATAGTGAGACCCTGTCTTAAAAAGACAAAAAAAAAAAAAAAAAAAAATCTCAAACAGTTGATTTTTTTTCCTTTGCCATTTTTCTTGAATTATATTCTCATCCAGAAATAAGATACAGATTTAGTTACAGTTCCTTCTAGTTTTCATTTTGCTTTATCATGTGCATTAGTGTGCCTTTGAATGAAAACTGGGATTCATTTTGATGAGTATTGTGAAGAGGGGTTTATTTTCCTTTCCCATGTACAGCACTGGCAAGATCCTTTGGTCCCGAGGAGAGACGGGGTAATGCTTTCCAAGGTGACGCGTTTACTCTCTTTTCTTCAGGCGTCTTGCTGCCCTCCAGAAACGAAGAGAACTTCGAGCAGCTGGCATAGAAATTCAAAAGAAAAGAAAGAAGAAGAGAGGAGTTGATTATAACGCTGAAATCCCATTTGAAAAGAAGCCTGCCCTTGGCTTTTATGACACTTCTGAGGAAAACTACCAGGCCCTGGATGCAGATTTCAGGAAATTAAGACAACAGGACCTTGATGGAGAGCTGAGATCGTAAGTTGGTCTTTCTGACTTTGGAAATGGACAGGTATAGGCGGAATCCTGTGAAGCGCCGAGTATTGCCTTTGCCAAAACCAGATTTTTATTGTTCCGCTTGAACATGGCTTGTTTATGCTTTTATTTGTTTAATGGGCTCATGTTCCCGAGGACACCTGCTGTGAGCTTTCAGCACCTGGGCCTGTGTACGGCTCGAGAACAGTCTTGTGGTGCTTTGTTTCCCAAGGCACAGCCTCACATTCGTGTACGTCTCTGAGCAAGGTAATGATTCCGAGGAAGTCTGTCAAAATCTAGTCTGGTTCTTTGGGGATTTTTTTTTTTCAGAGAAAGAGGGTCTCACTGTGCAATTCAGGCTGGCCTTGAACTCACCTTGTCGCCCAGGCTGACCTTGAACTTGCAGTGATCCTCTTGACTCAGCCTCTTGAGCCCTGGGATTAACAGGCGTATGTCAGTGTGCCTTGCTTTGTGGAGTTTTGGTGAAAAATTTTACCTTTTTTTATTTAAATGAAATTAAAAGAAAAATAAACTCCGTTTTTAAAATTTTTTTACTTGGGGGCTGGTGAGATGGCTCAGTGGTCTAAAGCACCTACTTAGAACAAGCTTAGCAAAGCACAGGGACCGCGGTTCAATCCCCCAGCACCACATGCCA